TAGGTAACTGCTTCTTGTATTCTTGGTGTATAGTTTAAACTACATATAACTAAAGTTTTTGTGGCAAGATACATTAACTTGGGCCAGGGTCTGCTAGTTGAAGGCAATGCAAAAAGATTTGAAATGCAGTTATTAAAGTAATTATAATATACAATGTAAAAAATTAACTACACATGACTATTTTATCCTCCTTAAATGTAAGTTGTATGATTATTGCCCTGAGGGGAATAGTAGAGTCCCTAGTATGTGGCAGTTGGAGCTGCTGCTTTTCTGGACTGTGAGCACAAGATTACCAGACAGGATTTCCCTCGCTGTGGCTCTTTCCACAAGAGCTGTATATTTATTTCATGGGTTTGGGTGTTATCTAGCAGCTCAGTTGCAGCTATTACAGAGTAGTGGTTGAGGCTGCCTGAAGTTCAGAAGTCCTGGACATTATGCACTGGCAAACTAATCCTAGAATGTGCACAAGACAGCATCACTGTCACCTGTCGGAGAGTTGTGTTGGTTCTGCAGTAACCACGCATGCAGAGTGGGTAGGTTTGTAAAATGTATCAGCTCTACAGTGTGAGTAAAGAGAAGACAGTCCAGAAGTATCTGTGATTACTGTGTCCGTTTCTACTGTATGTATGAGAAAACTGAGATGAAATCTGTTGGCCCTACTGTATAAATCTATTAACTTTCTAAATCAAGATACCTAGCCTACATCCTTACATCCTCGCTCTGCAAACTGCACTTCATCTGATCAGCTGCTTGGTGTGCATCCCCTTTGTTTATGCTTCCACATACAGAATCAGGAGTGAAAACCCCAGGTTGTTCAGTTACACAGATGCTGTGATGAGTTTGAAGGCAGGTAAACCAGAGAGTTACCTGTTCATGCAGAGGCTCTTAGCTTGGTGAGCACAGCAGCAGCCACTCCACATTTCAAGTTCTTCTTGTGAGCTACATGTCCGAAACTTCTGCCTTAAGCGTCTGAAAACCCTACTGTCATCTCAGAGCTGAATTGCTGGGGTGGTCAGCTGTCTCTGACCTGGTCATGTAGTTTATTTTCAATTCTTTTGGCACTTCAGGACTTTAAAACTTACTATTTAGCGTTGTATACATAAGACTGGAATGTTGCAGTGTTTTCCAAGCACGCTTCTCCTTGTTGAGAAGAGGGAGATGTTGCCCTTGAAGAACTTTCTTTACTGAATGTACAGATGGCCTTGTACTATAGGTACTGCCTTCACTGTAGTGCAGCAGTTATGAAGTACCAGCTCATCAGGAGAAAGGTAGACTGGGATGCAGAGTTATTGGGGTTTTTAACATCTCTTTTGATGTTTGATTTAATTTGAAGTTCTTAGTAGACTAATAAATTAAAATACTAAGCCACTTTATTCTTATCCCCGAATGCCAGATAGGAAGTGAGAATCTTTGAATCCAGGTGCCTGTCAGAGGTTCTTTTGTTCAAATAATGTTGTGCTTGCAGGCTACTCTCTGTCAGAATTTTCACCCTGATTTCTCCCCTTTTTGAGAGATGGCAAGAGGGAAGGAAGCTGCAGATATCTTTTTATTATTTTTTTTATTTAAAAAAAACCCTGAAATACAGAGGTTTATTCTATAATGCTGTAGATAACTCGTCCTAGAACAGAGTATTCTGTGCATGTAACTCCTTTCCAGTTTCTTCACTTTTCCTGATCTGTCCCTTTTTTCAGTTGTTCCAATTTGTAACTGTTGTCACAAATCAGTCCTGTCTCTGTTGCAGGGCCAGAAACCTGGGTTTGTTCTGTAGGAAACTTTTCAACTTTGACTCACTAGTGCTTTGCTATAGATGGAGTGTGGAAGTACCTATACTCAGAGAAAGAGCCATACTTTCTTTCCATCTTTTTCCAGTGGTGAAGATTGGAATCAAATGCAGTCTCAGGAAGAAGATGTGGCAATAACCGAACAGGACCTTGAACTCATTAAAGAAAGAGAAACAGCAATCAGGCAATTAGAGGTGACCAGTAGATCCTGCACAGTTAACAGTATTGGGAGATAAACCAAAGAAGTCGTGCAGTGCTAACTAATGGGATGGGCTGAGGAGATCTGAAGGTGGAGGAACAGAGTTCCTTGTAGAGAGGATTGATGCCAAGATCAATCTCCCTGTTCCTGTTGAAGGAGACTTAGGTATATTTTCCTTTGGTGTTGACTGGTGGTCCTTCAGAGATGGTAGGAGCAACTCATGTTACAATGTTCATCTCAATTCCATGCTATGCTAATTGCTAGTGTGATGAAACAAATACTCAGTAGCAGGAATATTGTAGGTTCCTGTGTTAATCCCAAATTCCATAGATAGTAGCATCAAGTCACCTCAGTCGGTGATTGATGGTATCTATTCTGATACTTTGAGTAGTGGTCAAAAGAGGTACTAAGAATGAAGCCTAGAAGACTGTAACCTGTTTTTGTTATAACTTGTCAAACTGTTGTCTTCAGGCAGACATTTTGGATGTCAATCAGATATTTAAGGATTTAGCCATGATGATTCATGACCAAGGAGATATGATTGGTAAGTGTGTTTGGATAATAGAAAGTTTCTTTTTAGTTCAATTACATATTTTGTCTACAAAGATTAAACTTCCCAGTATTTTTTGTAAAAAGTATGGTATTTCTGATTTTTTTTTTTTTTTTTTTTTTTTTAACACTGAAGCCCCAAAATATTTTACCATGAGTTCTCTTATTTTTCCTTAGACAGCATAGAGGCAAATGTGGAAAGTGCAGAAGTCCATGTGGAAAGAGCCAGTGAGCAGTTACAGAGGGCTGCCTATTATCAGGTAAATTCTGTATGCTTGCATTATTGTCAGTGCACAGTTGAGCAATAATGGAAAAGGCATAACAAAACACAGACTGAGGACTACAGCACACCAAACAAGTTATTAAAAACAGCTTGTGCAAGTTGCACACACTCAAAATTGTGCTGCAAACTATAGATAAAGCACTTTGAGTCAACAACATGGTATTGAAATCACCTTCCTACTTCAGACGATACGTCTGTTCCTTCATGTAGGTGTGCTCAGCAAGTTTAGTGTTTAGCCATCTCAGGAGTTAGCAGGACAGTTAAACAAGAGCAGATTCTCATGTTGTATCCATCTTGTAAACCTATCAGCCAAGACACTGATATGCAAAAATCCTTGCCCAGAGTCGGGAAACTTCTGGTGACTGGGATTTGCAGCACCCTTCTTTGTAGCTGCTGAGTTTCTATCCCATCGTCTGTCCTCCCTGTCTCATCAAATCTCTAGCAGTGGTTCTCACTGCTGCTTAAATCTCCTTTCTGTACAATATTCAATGTTTTCTGTAGGTTCCTTTCATCTTTACTGTCCCTGTAGGTTCAGGTTCTGTGAAGAGACAAGGGTTCTGCTTCAGTCAGTCCCAAATAGAATTTCACTGCTGGGACTTGAGGCTTCCACACAAGATAAAAAAAATGGGATTGTCTCAAGGTGTTGAGTGGGGAGGTACCTGAAGGCAATAAAACTCCAGTGCTGCTGCAAGGGAGGGAAAGTAGCTTTTACCATCTGGCAGCATTTGATAGTATTCTCTCTCTCTCTATGGCTTCCTTTATAAAGTTTTGAGATATGTTATAAATCTTAAGTTTGAGAGCTGTTGGACATGTATTGGATGTGTTTTTCTGGATGGAGAAGGAAGTAGTTATATATAACTGTCCTCAAATTCTTAGATAGTAAGTTAAAAATATTTGGTGTGTACGGACAGACTGTGGTTTCCTGTGATGACTAAAGTGATCAAAGCTGTAAAATCAAAGTACAGTAACTGTAAATCAAATAATTTAAAGTGTAGAAATGCATTACTAGATCTAAACCAAGTCCAAGTGGCCATGGGGAGATTGTATCGGAGAACTGGCCAGCAGTTCTATTAGTCTTACCGGGAAAATCTAAATAGCTAGATGTAATTGACTTTCCTTTGAAGCCGTGGTGTTGTCCCTTGGGATGAAAAGCATATGGTAAGTGTTGTCAACTTGAAGTAAAGCTTGCATTTTCCTTAAGAGAAGCAAAACTTGTCACATTTTTACTTAATTGCATCTCTTGGACTACAGTGCTCCTAAAACTAAAAACATTTATGTGTAGGATCATGCAGTTTAAGGACAATGTAAAAGTGTTCAGACTACACTGGTTACTTCTCTTGAGTAAGTATGGGTATTGAGTGCTCTGGTTCACCAAAGTTAGTAACATTAACTGGTAGACTTGCTCTTTCCTCTTGTCATCTGTTCCTGGTGTCAGTGGCTTTCTTTTTTTGTTGTTCTTTTATTAGAAAAAATCCCGTAAGAAGATCTGTATCCTGATTCTTGGTCTTGCTGTGGCTTCTATAATCATAGGATTCATTATCTGGCAGATGACAAAATGAAATCTTCACATGGAACCTAGTCTCATTGCTGAGATTTTTTTTTTCCCTCAGAGCGAACAGGCTGACTAGTCTCGGAAATGAATTGACCACCCTGAGAGAGCACAAGCTGGAACTACTTCTAGTAATAGATATTAGCAACTAATGTGCAGATAACTAGTATTTGGAATTAGTGAACCATGGAGACAGTTATTTATCAGTTTATATACAAATTATATTGTTTTACGTAACTAAAATCTTGTGGTTTTGCTTTCTGTAATGTATTATTCCCTGTCCCAACTGTATGCTGAAGTGTGATCAATAATTGGAGATGTCTTGTTTTTGCCAAGTGACACAACTTTAACATTTTATATGTATAGGTAACTTTGTTGGACTGGAATAAGAATGAATGACATTGAAAGAGGGCACAACACCAATTCACATTTCCTTAATCCAGCAGTTTCTAAAGTCTCCAGTATCTGCCCCATGGTTTTATTAGTCTCCAAGTGGCTGTGGCTCTAGGTCCTCTTGAAGAGAAAGATGTTGTTAAGGATTTGAAAAGCAAGGAGAAGTATTCATGGATGATAGTTGGAACCACTGCATGCTGGTCAGTTTAGCCTTGAGACTCGTAACCGTGTTGTTTCATTTTTTGAGTGTGGTTGGGGTTGTTTTTTTTCCAAAATGCATCATTTGAGGACAGGATGTTCTTTGACTTACAATCTAACAATGCAACTTCCTTAGAAAAAGTAGCTGGTGGTTTATTACTGGACAAATAGACTTCTTCCGATGCTGACTCTTAAGCACTAGAAATACAAAGCCTAGCTGCTTGCTTCTAATTGTTTTTAGAAGCTTCCAGGGAGAAAATCATGCAAAGATGAGGAAGCGGGCACCTAAGTTTACAAGCTAGCAAGATCGATGACTATTAGCTGAAATCTTGCTTTTGAAGAAGTAATCTTGAAGCTCACTTGTAGTGTACTAGTAAATATTATACGTGGTTTGTGAACATCTGGTATTTTCCATTCTTTATGAAACAAAGTGCAGAAACCAGCTGAGTGAAGTGCTAGGTTTTTCAGACTGATGATGTGCATGCAAATGAAAAAGATCGCTGGTTCCAACTGGCTTGCTAGTAGAGCTGGACAGAACATAGCAGCCACTCCCCACTTCGATGTAGCTCTGAACTGACATGCACTGAGGGAACAGTAACCTGTCCAAAGCCCAATGGAGTGTGGTAAAAGCAGCATACTGACCCATTTTGTATTTAATCCTTATTCCATTTCTCTTGTATAATAAAGTAAATGTGAAAGCTGGGGAGCGTGTTCTCCCAACTGCACAGTGGTTTGCACTATTGCGCCATCATTCCATCTACTGACCATCAATAAACACTTTTAAAAGCTTATGTCAGAGCTTCTTTCTCTTGCACTTTAGACATCGGCACAGGTATGTTTGCAGTTCCCTCTGTAAGCAGGGTAGAAGACTTTATAATGGCAACAGCAGTGTTTCCTCCAGCTTTAGTTCTGTGGTCCCTGGTTCTTAAGAATGAAACTAACTGAAAACAGAGTGACTTTCACATGGACATACACAGAACTGCTGTGCAGAGCCCTGTACAATAGCTGAGCACAGAAAAAATGAATCTGATGCTCCAGAACAGTGTTGGGTCAACTGTGAGTAGTTGCCTGTTGCTAGAACTTCCAAGTCTTTGCTGAGGCTGTGTGGTAAAATGTGGGAAGGGAATTGTGTGTCATTCTGCTCCTTATTTAAAATATTCCTCCTACATGGTAGAGCCTGCTGCTTTGTGCACTGCCTGCCGCGGGAATGTCACATCACCATATGGAAATGAAAGCACTTACCTTATCACCATGCTTAAAAGAGAGCCTGGGTGCATTATTTGTGGGATCAGTCCTCACTCCAGCCTGTTTTAGTCCTCTGGAAACTGGAACTGAGAACACCAGTCCAGCTCACTAGACTCAAGACTGCTGTAATTGCTTGACGCCTTTCTCCTCTTTCATTAAATCATTGAACTTAGCGGTGGAACTGCTGCAGAAACTGGTTTTTAACAGCAGTCTTGACTAACGTTTCTGAGCTTGAAAAATCACCATCAGAAACTCTTTTCTCTGTTGCTGCAGCATCTGGCACTGAGCATTCCTGGTGCTCCAGTGTGTTTTTTCTACCACTCTGGGAGATGCTGGAAGCTTACTCGGGGAAGTCTGGCGCTCGCCATGAGAGCCAGTGCTGTGATAAGCTTGTTTGTGCTGTGTGTCCAGGGAGCTATTCCTGCACTGCTCAGGCTGTGAGTCCCCTGAGCAACAGCTCTGTATTGGGTCTGACTGAGATGGATTTTCCCCACAGCAGCCCTCAGTGCTGTGTTTTGTATTAGTATTTAGAAAGGTGTTGATAACTCACTGGTGTTTTGGTTCCTGCTGAGCAGTGCCAGCACAGCACCAAGGCTGTCTCTCCAACATTTCCCCCTCCCCAGTAGGCTGGGGGTGGGGAAGGTCTTGGGAGGGGACACAGCCAGGACAGCTGATCCAAACTGACCAAAGGGATGTTCCAGACCATATGAGGTCTGCTCTGAAATGAACGGAGGGGGAAGGGGGCATTCATTATTCACGTTTGTCCTCTGGGGTAACCACTACACGTATGAAGCCCTGCTTCCCGGGAAGTGGCCAGACATCACCTGCTGATGGGAAGTAGAGAATAGATGTTTTGTTCTTCAGCTTCTGCACACACAGCTTTGCTTTGCTTCTATTAAACTGACTTTTGTCTCAATGGGGTTTTTGTTCCATCTTATTTTCTCCCCTCCCCATCCTGCTGAGGAGGGGGGTGCTGGAGGGGCTTGGTGGGCACCTGGCATGGTCAACCCACCACAAGCTTTTAGGGGAGCTGTGGCTCACGGGGATAACATTGGAGAGGTGCGATTTTTTTCCCTCATAAAAGCTCAATTATCTGTAACAAAGCACGTGCCCCGTGTTCCCCGCCCTTTGTCTGCTCTCCTCTAAACAGCTGAGGCGCCGAAACACTTGCTCCGACGGGGGATTGAAAGTTACGGGCGGGTTTGACCCGGGTTATTCCCCAGCTTTGTTCAGCCCCGTCCTCCTCCCGCAGCAGCGCGGG